ACAAGTGGAATGCGACACCTTATCCAGAGATGCAGCAACACCAGAGATGGAGGCAGAGATGGGGACATGGTGAGAGGGAGCAGCTGAGAACTCTAGATTCATGGGAAGTGAAGGACTAAGAGCTGGCAGCCAGGAGGCAGACTTGCAGAATGTGCCCTTTGGTGGTGTAAATTATTATATATGCCTGAGTGTTGTGTGTGTGTTTTTTTGTTGTTGTTGTTTTGTTTTGTTTTTAAAGCTAAAGTGAATAGAGAGAAATACTGGTAACTGATGGTACATGGAGGAGATTGTAATCATTGTAATGAAACAAGGTGTATGCTTTGTTGAATGTAAAACTGATGATCTGCCCTGTAAACTTTCACTTAATCCACAATAAAAACCTTAGAAAAGAAGAATGTCCTCCATCTCCATTCCTAAGCCAAGATTCTCCGCATACAGTCTATTTATTTATTTATAATGTATTCCTGTCTGCTTCTGCGAAGCTTCAGCGCAACCTTGCCTTTTTCCTGTATTCTAAGCACAGACTGGAAACCACCTGAGTCAGAGACGACCTTCATTTGACCTCAACAAGGCGGTGTTCTGGGTAGAAGTGGTGCATCTGGTCTCTTCCATCTTAATTTAGAGGACTCAATCTTCCCTCAGCCACTTTCTCTCCCCACTCCTATCCCCTAACCTGATGCCACGTGTCTCTGCTGAGGGAACTAGATGGAATTCATTCTCTAGCATCACACAGTGATAGGGTCGCATCTGCTGCTCATTAAATCTAGTACTCATCCTACCTCCTCATTCCCTCCATGTTACCTGAAAACTCAGATGTTCCAAGATACTCTGGAAGGTTATTCAGTTCACTTACATTTCCATATTGGTGTCCTTTTTGTTAGGTGCCTTCTGATTGGTTCAGACTCATAGTGACCTTATGTAGAACAGAAGGAAAGATTACCTAGTCCTGTGCCATCCTCACCATCCTTGTTCTGAGTGAGCCACTGTGTCAGTCTGACTTGTGGAGAGTCTTCCTCTTTTTTCTTGACCCTCTAACTTTACCAAGCATGAGGACCTTGACCAGAGAATGGGCCATTGCATGCCACAGTTGGAAGATCATTGTTTACATACAGCTATTTCAGTTGAGTTCCAGAAACCCTAAGCAGCAGGTTTATTTATCTAAGCCTTGCTGAAAAGTCTCCTAAAGTAGATGACCAGTATGAGACACTAATTTTATTTATTAAAGATCTAGTAAATTGTTAGGATTATTATTCTGATAACAAATGTACAAAATGCTTTAGAG